ATGGGAGAGCCAGCATGGAACCTTGCAGTCAGTTCCAGCTGCCTCGCTGGAAGATCTGTTTTCTGCCAAGTTTGTTCTCTTCTGTGAAAGTGCTTCTCCTAACCAGCCCTCCTGGACCATGAGGTCCTCCCTGTGAACTTCGTTTCCCCATGATCCCTCCCCTTGCCTGCAGAATGCCTCCTGTGCTCAGGGACAGCCTCCCTAATGCGAGGCTGTGCACACCTTCCGGGACACCCCCAATGGCCCAGTCCCACTCCTCACTTCCTGCCTGATGCTCCTTGCATCCACAGTCTGCTTCTGGGTCCACATTCTCTCCTGCAAGCTGCCAATCACATCTCCTTGCATGAGCTGCTGGCCTTGGCCTGTTGCTCTATCCTCTAGACTCTGGTTCTGCAGAAATTCTGGGCCAGTCCACAGCAGCAGATGACTGTAAGCTCTGCCCACTTCCCCATCCTCACCTCCAGACAGTCTGACCTTCTAGCTATTCCTAAAGCTGTCGTACCTCAGGGCCTTTGCACCTGCTGTGATTGCTTCCTGAACAGCTTTTCCTTAGGCCTCTGTAGAGCTGGCTCCTCCTCAGCTTCAGGTCTCACTCCCATGGGACCACCTCAGAGAATCTGTAACTAACCTTGTCACCTGAAAAATGGCAGCCCCGTCCCTAAATTATCTCTATTTTAGCTCATTTTATGCTTTAGTGTCTATATAAGAGAAACAGTATTTCTTTTTAGTATCTATCATGGGCTATAATTATCATACCTATTTACTTTGTCACTGTCTCTTCTACCAAAGGTAAGTCCCATGAGACAGGGATTATGTGATCATGTTTGTGCTGCTTATTTTTGTACCCTCAGCCCTTCTCATCATGCATGACATAGCATTGACTTCAACAGATATTGATCAGTTGTATGAATGAATGATTAAAGGAATGAATAAGTGAATGAATGAAAGAGAATGAAGAAAACATTCTGAGACCAGTATCCCACATCCTTATATGTGTGCTTCCTTCAAAAGAAACTCACATTTTCTAAGTTCTACTATATTCCAGGCATTTAATAGTTAACCTTCACCAGGAACCCATAAGGCAGATGTTACAGCTCCACTTTTTGGATAAAGAAGTGGAGGCTCACAGATGCAGTTCCTTGCCCAAGCTGATTTAGGAAACTAGTACAACCAGACTTCAAACCTCAATCTGGCATAATGCCAAAGCCTTTTTAACCACTTTGAATTTAAGACTTAATAAATGTCCTAACCAGTATAATGATGGAAACCCTGGTTGAGCAAGCAGCTCTGGGAAGCGCTCAGTGTAATTTCATCTTCGAAGAATTCAGGCTTAAATTTTGTCTTTCAAAATAACTATCCATGTATCCAGAGGTAGGCCAGGTTCTTCCAAACAGGCCAAGAGCTTTCTATTTTCAAGCTGTTTTTCCCATCCTAGATCACAGGAGAGTCCCCAAGTTCAAGGTCCAAATATTGGCCCTAAATATCCAGCCAGGGTGAGGACGCTTCAGCTGTAGAAGTGAAACCTTTAAGCAAACATTATCCCTTTTGAGGCTAGCAACGTCCCTTCAGATAGGAGTTGTAAAACTGAAAAGCTCTCCATCCCACCTCCCATTCAGTCATTATAAGCCCAATCAATGGACCAGACCAAACTGAAAACTGGGCCTATTTAAAATGCTCCAGGCCCCACAAGGACCCTTGGGGAAGGTCGTCCCTCAGTCCTGTTCACATTGAAAAGCACCTTTGCAGCATCTTTTAATAGTATAATCATGAAAATCACAAAGCTAGGGAGCCCATAGTGCCTCCCCCCAATTTCTGGGGGTGTCTGCCTTGCCTGCGTGTGTATAATCATCATTACATGAAAGCAGAGAGGGTGAGGGCAGAGGGTTAAAGGCAACAGGTCTGATTTTGCTGTCTCCTGCTGTCATATCTCTGCAGACTTAAAAAGCAAATACAAACAGCCCCAGCTCAGAGATAGATTCTTTGGGCCAAACTGGGCAGCAAGATATTTAGGAACTGCTGACCGGAGATTTTAGTGTCTGTCCTTCCTCAGTCTCCCAGTTCCTTGTTCCCGTATGGAGAATGCTGCCTCCTTGCTTCCCGCCCACATGGATCGGTGAAGAATTTCTTTTGAGTGGTGATAGGTCCAAACAGAGCCATTACTTATTGGGAAACCCTTCAACCTTGTTGAGAACTTATCTCCCTTTACTGGAACTTTCATTGCCAGTTGGATCCTTGGCTGTCCACGCACTTCTCGTTCTGAGAACTTGTCCGGACCGCTGCTTTAACCATCACCTCCAAGCTCGTGTCGGAGGGAGAGGTGATTTCAGGGAGCCTGGGGTACAGTGGCCTTCTTAGTAAAAGCTGACCATGGATGGCTCCACATGCTCTTAGCAATGCCACCTCCCGATCCTTTCTTGATCACTTTCTCTCTGTTCTGTCCTGGTGATGGAACCCTCATTAATTTCTACTAGGTCTCAGTTTGGGTTTTTTTTTATCTGTAAGATGAGGCATTTTTGTCTTGCTGGATGTACACACAACTGTCTAGTGAAAATGCTCATCAGAGCAAGAGGAGACCAACAAAGCCTGGTGCTGTTACCACCTTGCCCTGTGCCTGCTCACCTTGCCCAGGACTCACTCCCTACTCTTCTCTGTTGACTGAAATCGTTCCCACTCTTCAAGCACCTGCTTTGGGACTGTCCACCTTGGCGCCTTCTCTGGTCTTCCCCTCTTTATTTTTTAAAGCCCTTGCAGTCAGATGCACACAATTCAAGGCTTCTGACCCTTCTTGGTATCAAGCATACTCATCTCTCTCCTCCCAAGCAGAGATGGGGTAGGTGACATAAAGGTTAGGGCTGTATCATAAATATTTTTTCCCTCTTCCTTTTGTAACGTCTGGCTCTTGGCTGCACGCATGTTCAAAAGAAGCTTACTGACTGGTTTTTAAAAGAATTTTCATCTCAAGAAATTTATGTTATTTTTTTTAGTTGATGACACAAAATACTGTGTTCAAAATACTGTGACCAAAAAAAGGAAAGAAAAATCACTGTGCATTCCACTCCTGTTGCCTGTTAGTGGGCGGGTTTTTCCCTCGTTCCTTTCATTTTATGTCCTGACGCGCCAAGAATTTATACAAAGCTGTGATCGCAATGTGGCTGGAATTCGACATTCTGCTTTTTTCACTCAATATGTTACCATGGGTATTTTTTCATTTTCTGCCAGAGTCTTCGTAATTATCATTTTTTTTTAGGGGCTGCATAATACTCAAGTGCGTGGGTGGAGCATAATCTACCAAACGGTCTCCCTTCTGTTGATAAAGGGGGCTGGTTCTGAATTTTCGCTATTACAGACAGTGCTGTAATTCACCCTGGCGGCATATGCTGAGCACCGACAATGAAGCAGAAGCAGCGCTTGGCTCTGCAACAGGCAATGTGGACCTGTTGCTTTTATCATCTCTTGGATGCTTTCCTGAGGGTAGGATTAGTGGGACAGAGTATAAACATATTTGCAGCTTCCTGTCATTTTCAGGCGAATCCCAGGATCTGTATTTAGAAACAGAAGGGACCAGTGGAAGTCATACTTGCAAGAAGGTGATGGGGAGGTGGGTCTCAGATGCTGTGACCATCTGCTCTTCTGACATCAGCAGACATCACTGATTCTGGGGCTAAAGGCAGCGGGTCAAGGACAATCAGGACAAGGGACGGTGCAGCCACGCGGGAAATGGGGAAAGAGGCTCCCTGGTTATGGAAGGTCAGTTTTTCAAAAGAGCTGCCACCTTCTGGTCCCACTACTTCCCACAGCTTGAGACTACATCCTCCAGCTACACTGGTCTCCTTTCAGATTCTTGAATTGACCAAGTCTTTCCTGATCCCAGACCTTAGCATCTGCCATTCTCCTTGGTCTGAAATTTTCTTCCTTTGGCCAAAAATGCTCTTCCTTTGGCCAAATTCTCATCCCTCAATTCTCAGCCCAAATCTCACTCTTTGATGGATGACGCCTGATTTCCCCATCTCCTGTGTTCACTAGCATTTTGTGTTTCTCCACCAGAGCAGATATCAAAAGTGTAAGTCAGGGAATTTTAAAAATATTTTTCTGTCCCTTCTTCCCCAACAAGACTCCAAGCTCAATGAAGACAGTGACTCTCAAGGTGGTTTTTGCTGGAGTTCCTGCTCTCACAGAATACCTGGCCCATCATAGACACTCAGTATTTATGAAGTGGGTCAGATCAGGGATAGAGGAAAGGATGCTTGCAAAAATATCACTTAAAAGGATAAAGCAAAGATTGCCAGACAGTGGTGGTTCATTTTTCAGACTGAAGCTTGAGAGATGAGAGCTAAAAGAAGGAAGAATACCTGAGGGTTATAAAAGTAGGCAGTCTGGAAGTCTTTAAAGTGTGCCTGCAGTCTCTGGACAGCTGAGAAACAGGTGGTGATTTTCTTATATCTAGCTTTAAAGCTCTCTGTTCACATCCCACAGGAAATACTGGGGCAACCTTAAATTATATGCAAATATCCACATTCAAAATTTAAAAACATCTGCAAATTCAGACCATCACAAGACACTCCTTTCCAAGAGACTTCCCACGTTTCACCTAATCTGGTCTAAATTTATCAACTCAAACAACCAGATCTCCCATCCTCCAGCCCTTTGATTTTTTAATCTTAATCTGCAATTTGAAAAAAATTATTTCCTTCTTAAGGTGCTAGCTGGATTCCTTTGTACCTTACAGTTTTGTGTTGGAGAATGAAAATACAGAAGTAATGGCTCTGGGACATCCCTGAATCCTCCCAGGGGCTATGAGTGCAGCAGAGCCTGGGAATCAGCCTTGAACTCTGAGAATCAGCAGTGGGGTGAGACACACAAGTCATCTGAAAGTGTGGTGGCAGCTGGGTGTTCCATCTGTTGTCCTGGGTTGACACACACATATATATGGCCACGATCAATGGCTTTAGCATCCCAGGTGGAATACGGATCAGGTTATAAGCCACTATCTTCCCAGGTGACTCCAGTGCCAGCAGACTGCTGTCCTTGTCTCCAGCCTCACACCTCCCATTCATTCTCTCCACACCACCAGTGACTGTTCACAGCCCAGAGCTGATCATGTCATTGTGTCACCACTTTGGTCCTTTGGTGGCTCTTGGTCACACCCAGTTTGGAGTCCACATTTTCCTGGACTGTTAGGTGAATGAGTGAGAAATCAGCATCTTTGTGTTAGGGGAGTGTTACAGCAGTTCTCACAATTTAGCTCTGCAAGTTACTTAACTGCTCTCTTCCTTGGGTTTATCCTCTCCAGGATGGGGATAACAGTAAGGTTGTTGGGAGGATTAGATGAGTGAACACAGGTGAAGTAGTCAGCCCAGAGCTAGTAATCCTAAGCCTCCAGCACATGTTTGCTACTATGACTCTTGTTAACCCTCCTCTAGAAGGATGCTCCTGTTCTAGAGAAGAGGAAGGATTAATGGGACAGAGGCTCCTTAGAGCGAACACCTTACCTTTTCACTTCCTGCACATAGTCTGCATTTCGGTCAAAGAGGTGGGTCACGGAGTCTTTGATTGCTTCATGTTTGAAGGTAGAAGCCGTCCCAAAGACAGTCACATTGGGGATGGTGGAACACAGCTGAGCCACAGCCTGGCCCTGGAAGTGAAATATAATAGACAAGTCACACAGGAGAGCAACCATCCGACAACCAGTCTGGCTGGGTGTAGAGCAGGAGCTCTCAGCCTTGTCACTATTGACCTTTCGTGGCTGGATTAGGTTCGTTGCAGGGCGCTGAACTGTGTGTTGAAAGGTGTTTAGCAGCACTGCTGGCCTCCACCTACTACGTACCAGCAGCATACCCACAGCTGTGATGACCGAAAATATCTCCAGACATTTCAAAATGTCCCCTGGGGAACACAATCCCTGTAGGTTGAGAACCACTCAAGTAGAGGAAAGCGATCCAGCAAAACCCCAGCGTGAAAACATAACAACTATTATTTAACCACAGAGAGCCTCAGTTCCTCATTTATAAATTAGCACTAATAGTACTTACTCCCTAGGGATCTTGGAAGATGTCAGTTTGGATTCCCCAGAAGCAGGCCCTGAGGCAGGGATTTGAGAGTTAAGTCCTCTATATGATCATGGGGACTACAGGGGTATCAAGACAGAAACAGAAGGCAGCCAACAAAGGGTGTATTCTCAAGTCAGTATCCACCATGGTGACTAGGACTCAAACCCCCCAAGGAACTCCACAAACAAGTGTAGAATACACCTCAGAGTCATCCTGAGTGGTGAGGGAGCTGGAGTATTTATCCACCCAGTTTCCATCTGATACGGGTTGAGGGTTGTTTCTGCAGCAGTAAGTCTTGTGCACACCTGGCTGGTCCTCAGGGGCCAGGTGTGCTCCCACAGCCAATCAGAAGCCCTAAGTAAGCATATTGAGTTGCGTGCTGACAAGGTAAGGTGTGACTGACAACATCCACTACAGGGTGTGTTAAATGAGGCATGATGTAACACAGGCCCAGCATCCGGCACAAAACATGACACTTAATACTCTTAATCATCTGTACCCCTTCCTGGCTTGTTATATCCAGAGCTGAGATGAGCAGGCATATAAAGAAAAAGCCAGTGCATGAGGTTGAAATATTAAATGATCTAAGAGAAATCACAAGCGTAATTATGAATGGGGAATTTTCCCACGTTCCTTTTCAATATAGTCGGAAAGTTAAGTCCTTGGACAAAATACCGTGACCATGTATATTCAGAAACCTTCCAGGAAAACCCACTCTGCTGGTAATTCAGCTGCATTCTAAAACCAAGCACTGTCTCTTTCCAGTGTTCTCTCTACCATCTTCAGGAGGCAGAAATTATTAGGGAGGGAAATTTTTGTACCCAAGGCATCTTTGATATTAATTACTGCCTCTCACTTTATTTACGTGTCTTTCTGTGGGTGGACTAAATCAGGTTGGCAGGTCATTTGTGGAAATGTGATTCTTCCCAACATTTGCAATTAAAGACAACATTGAGAGAATCAGAGAATGTCAGAGTTGATGGAAGATCATCCAGTTACCCCCTCCTCACTATTGTTTTGTAGATGAATCTGGAAGAGGGGACTCTGAAAGGTTAAGGTGACCCAGTTCTTCAGAGGCAGACCTGAGATTCAAAGCAAGGACTTTCAGCTGCTGCCATTTTCTGTTCTGCCATGCTGTCTGCTTATTTTGACATTTCAAGCCAAGCAGACATTTAGTTGCTGCCTAAAATAGACACATTACTGACATGCTCACTTGGAGGTCAACATTTCAGAACATGGGCGTGAACCTGAGACTTCAGACAGGCTGTGGTTTTCTGTTCTAAGAATTGCTTGAGTATTTGGTTAATTTTTTTAGCCCCTGATTTTAGAGAATCAAAAAGGAACTATCCTTCCTGGTGAGTGTAAATATCAGTAGCCAGTGTGCCGCGGTCCTGGGAAGTTCAACAGGGCTTGAGCTAGCCTTGCCTGTGCTGGGGTGGGAGATTAGGACTAGTTCCAGTAGTCCCTTTCTCCCTCGATCCTTAAGCAAATGTGACATTTACCCACTCAACTCTTTTTCATATTCCTACTATGTGCTAGCTAGTCACACTGTGCTACAGATGCTGGAGTGTCAGAAATGATTGATATATCTTAATCTCTTATCTCTAGTCCCACCAAGTTCCAGACTTGTGTATCAAACTACCATTTTGGTGTCTGTCTTTACCTGGCTATCTAGAAACAACCCATCAAATTCAACTGATCCAAAACATAACTCATGGCTATCTCCAAACGAGTCACTCCTTACATTCATTACTAAGGCTGTTGTAACAAAGGACCATGGACTGGGTGGCTCACACAACAGAAATTTATTGTTTCACAGTTCTGGAAGCTAGAGGTCTGAAATCCAGGGCACGGCAGGGTGGGCTCCCCCTGATGACTGTGAGGGCGGGATCTGATGCAGGCTTCTCTCCTTGGCTTTTAGACAGTGGTCTTCTCCCTGGCCTTCCCTCTATGCCAATCTCTGCCCAAATGTCCCTTTCTTAGAAGGACAGCAGTTATACTGGATTAGGGCTCACCCTCATGACCTCATTTTAACTTGATGACTTCTGTGAAGACCCTGCCTCCAGATAAGGGTACATTCTGAGATCCAGGGGTGAAGGACTTCAACACAGGAATTGGACAAGGGTCGGGGAACACGATTCAATCCATATCACTCCTCTGACTGCGTTTCCTACCTCAGTGTGTGGAATCGCACTGTTCACCCATCACTAAAGCCAAGAATCTGGGGGTCAGCCTGGATCCTTCTGCCTCCCTCGTCCCCACATCCGATTGGTCAGCAAGTATGCTGTTTCCATTCAGCATCTCTTGTGACTGTCACTTCTTCCCCTGGGTTATGACAGCATTCTTCTAACCAGCCTGGCTGTTTCCATGTGTACATCACACTGTGGGCAGAGTGATTTTTCTCCAACACAACAATGAGCATTTGACTGCATGTTTCAAAGCTTCCCAAGGCCTATGGTGGCCTTCAGAATGAAACATAAGTCCTATATCACACAAGGCCAGCCCTCTGGGATTTGACCCAGTCTACCTCACTAATGTGAGTTCCCTTCACTTTCCCAACAGCCCCCCACAACTACACAACAGACAAGTCGTCACTGATAATCGCTGTGACCCTCATCCCGTGGTGTTCTCAGAATGAGCCTTCTTTTCCCCACGAAGGAGCTGAGGTTTACGGCGGTTGGATGCCTGGTCCACGGCCACTAGGGTGCGATGTGGCAGAACTTGGTCTACTTAGCAGCTGAGCAACCTTGAGTAACAAATCAATTCCTCTGGTCACGTGTCTTAATATGCCTTGTGTATAATACTACATAAACTCTAAGATTGCTGTGGGATTATATGACATTAACACATCCAAGGGCTTAGAGTAGTGAATGGTCAGTGAATATTTGCTCTCGTGACCACTGTGATTCCTATTTTTCTTGGTATTTTTATCATTATATCAGCAGTGGGAGCATATCCGTTCTCCACTCCCCTGAACGTATCATGCTATTTCACATCCGTGCTGATTTTCCCACATGCTTTCCCCTACCTCTCATGCCTGGCCTTCCACTCTCTTCTTCAGATCCCATCCACTCCCCCCGAGGCACCTCCAACCCTTGATCTAGAAATCCTTCCCAGTGGCCCAGGCAGAGTCGCTTGCCTA